GTAGCATAACTCAAGCTTCGCGTTTTGATTCACATTAAAACAGAAATTACTACTTATACGAAGTAGGGAAACCAAAAAATCGATAAAATGTCGATTTGAGCACTTGTTAGCCAATGATGTACCGCTTGTTCATTCCGCAGGGATATTGCGAGTCTGGAAAAGTATCATTATTTCGGTTTTTTGACATTATATTGGTTTTTTGTGACATTATGTAGGTTTTTCTACAAGATGTCAACTTTGCACTAGCTGTTGTACACTTGTTGCATTCTCGTTCCGCAGCTGTACGTGTTGCCTAAACGTCATAATTTTTCGGCTATCAATGTTTGGCTCTCGTGTGTTGTAACATTTGCTTCAGAGATGGCATTATTTGGGGTCTAAGCTGTAAGTTGTATAGTATAGCTGGAGGGAGACAGCTGTGAGGATTTGTGTGCTAATAATCTGTGTTGATGATAATTCCATTGGTTTTTTGTCTCAAATACAATTGAAATGTATGCAAAGCTAAAAGTTAGTTGCTCATCCGCTTTTTCTTATTCAACCTGGAAATTACATGTACAAATTTGCTGAATTTCAAAAAAAGAGAGCGATAAGAAAAGAAAATCCCTCGTTGGTGAAGTATATTAAAATTAACAGGTGAGAAAATATTGTACATACAGGAATATTCCACAATAATTTTTATTTCCAGTCATTTAAATTTGATAAAAATTTATTTTACGATATCAAGTAGAAAATACAAATCAGCGGCCAGATGTCAGGTAGTGCGAAAATATTTTGTATGTGATGCATCACTCCTAATTTTTCTGTGATGAGGCTTGATTAGGCACAACGAGGGTATGGTGCTGATTTTCCGTCATGTTTCTCAAAGTATTCTCTATAAAAATGTCTCTTTTCCTTTCTCCTAAAATATTCCTCGATGTTTTTGAGCTCCTCCTCAATTCCTTTTTTCTTTTCGCCCTTAGTATTAACTTGATATATCTTCTTTGCATTCGATAGGCTTCCATATCTTGCTCACTTATTTTGTTACTTTTTCCCGTTCCTTGTCGCATTCATGATCCCACCGCGTTTTCTTGTCATGTTTCATCTGTTTTTTAGGTACTTCTTTTTCTGTAACTTCTTGTACTATAGACTGTAGTATCTCCATTCCTGATCTATCACCATTTGCTTTTCACTTTGTAATAGTATCTGTAGTTCTTCTTCGATTGCGCTAATATATTTATCTTGAATCTGTTGATTCTTAAATTGTTGTGGATAAAAGGGTCTTTTAATACTTCTCCAACTTTTATTTTTTCTTTGCGATTTCACCATATTAATATCAACCCTTACTAAAAAGTGGTCTGAGTCAACATCTGCTCCCCTACACGTTCTCACATTCTGAATCATTCTTTTGTTATGAAAACGTGATCAATTTGGTTTAAATAATTACCGTACCGTGACGGTCAAGTTCCTTTGTGTATGTTCTTTTTTTTTAAATTAGTACTCATTATTTTCATTTGGTTTTCTTGCACAAACTCTATAACTCTTCTTCCATTATCATTAATATTTTCGTGTGATCTCTTTATAAATTTCCAGTTCCAGTTTCACTGTTCTCTTGCACAACGAGTGATAAATTTCCTCAACTTTTCGATAAAAAATGTCTTTTTCCTCCTGCTACTTTTCTTCTGTCGGGGCATGCATACACAGAATTGACATCTTCTGTTCATTAGCCACTTCTAAGTAGCATATTCGGTCATTTGTTATAGTGCACTTAATTACTTTTTCTTTCAGCCTTTCATGCACTAGAAATCGTACCTCATATTGCCTTGTATCTCTCTCGCTATTGAGCAGATAATAGTCCTGTACCTGGATCATTTCTGTCCATCTTAAATGTGTTTCTTGAAGTAATATGACATCCAATTTATACTGGTTCGCTTCTTGATATATTCTCCTTGCATTCCAGGTTCCCCACCTCATTCTTTCCACTTCCTTGTGATTTTTTTATGTAGTTAGTTTTTTTGGTATCCATTTTACTTGCTTGACTCGTCACCTTTCCATCCACGTGGCTTTCATCACCTAGTTTTTTCAAGCTGTAATTTTCATTCTTCCTTGTTCCATCTCCATTCTTGTCCATGAATTATCAGCTGACTAACGCCAATTTCCACAATTGTTACATTCCTTCTTTCGTCGGTTGCTTTTTCCCGTATCATTTACTCTACCATCCTTAAGGTTTCTAAATTTATGCTTATTTTTCATTACGTTTTCTTTGTCTTCTGGCCCGCCTAAACCGATCCAGCATACCCTTCCAGCTAGTTTACGAAGTGCTTTTATTTGTACTTTGATTTCTTGATTTTTTTCTATGAAATAGTTTATTCTGGGCTTTAGGTTTGCGTTTGATGTTTCTATTTCCAGACCTGTCAATACTACCTTATCAGGTTTCTCTTTCCCCAATATTTCTAAGTCTTTTTTCATACTCCCGTTTTCCTTGTGTTTACTTTTTAGGTGTTTGTTTTCCTGTTTTAATGTCTGAGTATCTTCTCGAAACTCGTTTGCTTCTTTACTTAGGTCCTTTATCACTTTTTTCATATAACTTATTGTATCCATTTTTTCATCCCTGCTCTGCTTTACTGGAGTACTCATAATTTTTTTGCTCTTTCTAAATGGGTCATCATGGTCACCGTCGTTCCTCCTTCTCTTAGAACTATCATAAGTTGAATCACTATCCATACTTGTATTTGCTGTAAAGCCGGACCTGCGTGTGACCCTGAAGTGACCTTGAAACGCATTTATGGAGATAAAAATCGTATGAATGCTGTCGAAATTGTATTTTTTGCTGGCTTTTCGTTGTTCTACACCACGGTCTGGCAATATGATCAGTAAATACTGTCAATACGGGCCACAGTAAGTACTGATCGCGTGGCATTCACCTATGCTGTGATAACCCATATTTATACTATACAGGGTGGCGCATCGAAAACGAAACAGACTCATTTACTGGCAGCTCAGTTTTTTTTGAAAAACGCTCAGACCCGTCGATTTTGTTTTCGAGGTGGACACAAGTTTGGCAAAAAATCACGTTAGCACGTGCAGCCCCCTAAGCGGGAGTGACACCACCTCCAAAATCTTAAATGGAAAAAGGGGTCCAGTGATACCTTATTTTAAAGGTCTTTCAATTCCCTTTATAACAATATAAATTTAATGTACTTCAGTTCAGTAGTTTTGAAGATTTATTGATTTAAAGCTTAAATTAAACTATTACATCATCATTAGTGGAGATCAATACATTTGGCAGCAAAGTAATTTAAAAATGAAGAATGAACTGACCCGTTAGGCAAGTAAATGTTGAAAATGGCCACCATGACTCTCCATGCAATAATAAAGATTTCGTTGTCGCACATTTTGCAATATTTGAGGAGTAATTTGAGGGCACTTATTCACAATTCTTTGTTGCAGGTCTTCTAATGATGTTGGCTGAGTAGCATAGATTTTGCTTTTTAAATGACCCCACATAAAGAAATCCAAAGGTGATAAATCTGGTGATCTTGGGGGCCATTCAATGGCACCTCTTCTACCAATCCATCGATCTGGAAACGTCTGATCTAAATATTGTCGAAGACGTAATGCGTAAAGTGGTGGGGCACCATCCTTTTTGAACATCAACCTATTCGCAATGTACCGCCGGCCGATCATTCTGATTTTCAATTATGGCTGCTAATGCAGGATCTATGGCGCCTTTCAGTACATAATTCCAAATACATTTCACCGGTCAAATTTCCAGGTAAGAAAAAAGGACCAACTAAATGATCGCCAAAACTACCAGCCCAAACATTTAATTTTTGTGGCTGCTGTGTATGAACCTCATGATAAATTCAGCGATTAGAATCGGACCAATATCGGCAGTTATGACGATCTACTACGCCATTTAAGAAAAAGGAACATTCGTCGGAAAAGCAAGTGTTGAATAGAAAATGTTCATCGTTTATAATTTGTTCACTCATATCTTCACAAAAATGTAATCGCCGATCAAAATCGTCTTCATTAAGTTCTGATTATTTCCGAAAAATATTTCGATAATTTCATCCCTTTCTGCAGTGGAATATACCATGGTTAATTTATGTAATAAAGCGTTACAAGTTATTTTAGCAATAAAGTTTGGTCAAATCAATCGCAAACTATGTACTAAATTCCTATTTAAAATAAGTACGAGATATGTCCTTATCTTTCTTCAAGAAATAACTTTTTTGCCACAAAAAACGCTCCAATAGCTATTTTCAACAACAAAATCATAAACAAACCATGGGCGTAGTGAAGAAAGGTATTTACTTATTAAGTAATTTCTTTTAGTCAAATTTCTTCTGAAAGTAGTACAAACTAATCTGATGTACCTATTAAAGTCTACTTTAAGCTGATAGGTATCACTCGATCCCCCCCTTTCCCAAGATTTTGGGGGTGGTGTCACCCCCGCTTATAGGGCTGCACGTGTTATCGTGATTTTTTGCCAAACTTGTGTCCCCCTCGAAAACAAAATTGAAGGGTCTGAGCGTTTTTCCAAAAAAAAACTGAGCTGCCAGTAAATGCGTGTTTCGTTTTCGATGCGCCACTCTGTATGTACATAGTTATTACTCTGGCCAGGTTCAATAGTGGTTTATTGCTGACCTCGAAGATAAGCAGAAATAAACCTATTACAAGTGACGTTTATGCAACAATACTTTATACTGTTGGCCCGCAATATTTTTTACGATCATACACTGATGAGTACAGGATATGTGACCTTTTGAGACTACGTAAATACGGCAGCAAGCACAATACGCGTTATAGACGTTTAATATCATATTTTGATTTAGTACACGGTTTCAGTGGTACAGGATGGTACAACCTGCTCTTCTGCAGCGATTTGAGGGTTCACGATATAATTCTACCAGTTCTGTTGGACATTTCTTTAGATCCAGAGCAATTTGGGTATAAGCTATCAAATTTTAATACATGTTAATTTGATGAGAAGCCAATAAGTAGAAATAGAATAAATCAAATATAAATTTTGGATTTCAATTATATTTCCATTAAATCCTCTGACTGACAATATGATCGAATAGTATGACTAGCTGATACATAGGCGTGTAAACTCTCTTCCTGGTCGTATTTGCTCCAGGATTGCAGCCAGGGGCTGGGTTGATTATTTTTCTGTCGAAGCGATTTTGGAAAATCAACCCTTTAGCAGGATCCTGCTTCACCTGAAAAAAACAAAAAGAAATTGGCGTGAAATCAAGTATTCAGGATTTGCTGACATGAAACAATCACTTTTCATTTTTGTCTCAAGATCTACGACGAATTGATGAATTTCAGCAAAGGCAGAACAGTGCAGCTGTAGGGATGGTATGTAGGTACATTTAATGATGTGCCCAGGACCCCCGTTTTCATATAATTTTTTTTTCCAAGATGGCGCCCAGCGGGCCATCTTGACATTTTCATCTGTCAATTTTACTCTAAAATATGGAATCTACGCATCAATTTCATTACCTCAAGTTTTAATTTTTTGAATTGATCCGTTCAAAAAATCAAAGGGGAGAGGACATATATATACATATATATATATATATATATATATATATATATATATATATATACCTTGAAATGACTGGAATCATTGCAAACTACTTTCCCAGATCTCCAGTTATAATAACCAAGATCTATGGTTTTAGGTACCTATTATCTTCTTGCGACCTACAAAGATCGGCTTCCAATCTTCTACGATTAACTTGTCACCATAATCCAGGTATCCAGATATTTCGTAGCCAGCTCTTGTTTCCAGCTTTATGAATATGATCGTTGATAATATACCCACCCTGTTCGATCTGTAAAAATATTCATCTAAAGAGTTACCTTCGAAATAATTCACCACAACAGATAATAATGTTGGCGACGGAAATACCTAGTACATTCACCGTATGTGTAAATTATTTCAATTAATAGTGGATGCGCACCGAATATTTATGATTTGTTTCAAAAGTCTTAAGAGTTATCAAGGTATTTTGTTGTTAAGATTTCAGTCATTTTCATAGCTACTTGGGTTAAAACAAAGTTACAAAATAGTAGCAATACCTTTCTCGAAGAGCCAGTTCAATCTTTAGTGGGTCATCCTTAATCATACCTTCACTAGTTGCATGGTATGGTGTATAGGGTGGGAACAGGTATTGATATACCTATAAAAACACAAAGACAATATATTAGGAAGAACCAAGCCTGCTTTTTTACATCGCATTGTTTGTCGCCAAAATTGTGTAGGTTTAGTGCATACTTTTGGCTATTTCAACTACCATTGCCTGCCAAAGTAACAAACCAATACATCGGCGTGCATTCGTTCCTCTGGAAACGATATTCAAGTAAGTATTCGGACTGGGTGTACTCATGTAGAGCAAGGCAGACATACTGCCTATGTTTCGATGATAATCGCTCAGTTATTATTAATAAACAGGGATAAATTAAATAAGGCAAAGAAACGGAAGACCAGATTCTTAGTTAAAAGCAAACGCCTAGTTGAGCATATCATTCTATTACATCATTGTCACTATATTCATCTAATAAAAAGAATTGGAAGTATTTTAATTAATTCGGTTCTGAAGAAGCTCACCTTTGCGTTTACCGTAAAGAAGATTCTATCAATGCATACAATTTTGTGTATTATACCTTTATATTTATCTCCTCAAGTCATTTTCAAAAGGGTGAAAACATCCCCAATGTTCCAAAATCAGGAGAGTCGAAATAAGGATCATGAATTATTTATATCGCAAAAAGTGCACTTTATGTTTTCGCTACCATTTAGTTTCGCGTTTATAATTGTGAAGCCTGGGCAAAAAAACGGATCTTGGTCCATTTAAGAATCACTATAGTCCTGAGTACGTTATGGAAGCAAGTTCAGATTGAAAGATGGTGATGTGGCCCTGAAAAGCCTATGTTAGTGTGAAGGAACAGTTTAGTTATACATTTTGCTGGAGTATTCAATATTCGTAAATCACCTATTGGTGGCAGTTTGAAATCATATTCAAAATAGCGGCAGAAGGGTATGGTACGTGTCCTTGGTGATGAAATCCTAAATATCAAAGTATAGATGTAACATGCGCTAAAAAAGTTCCTGCTCCTGTGGATGACTTACATTTTAGGGTAGCTAAGTATATATAAGGGCGTATCTACAGGCGCTAATGCAGCAATCTTTGACACTCTGAATCTCAAATAGAAAGCACTTATGGGCTTTGCACTCATTGAAAATTTGGTTAACACGACATGAACTATCCTATACGAATTTTCATTAAAATTGACCGGTGATCAAATTCCATATATTTGTATCTAGTACTCACAGCAGCAAGCCTTTTTTCAAACTGCTCCCGACTCAGTGTTTCTCCTGAACTTCTGTACCCCAACTCGGCAACTTGTCTGGCAACCTCCACGCTTTGTAGATAGCATTCATCCTGATTTGTCCCCAAGGAGTCCAAATAATGCTCGTAATTTTCATATTGAAGCAAACGTCGATCTGCCTCAGTCTGAGGAGATGCTTTCAAGTTCCGATTCATCTTGCTACTGTGGGAGTGCTATGAATAATCTGCTAAGAGGTGGGGGAAGGAGATGAGCATTACAAAGGAGGTGACCCAGAAATTAGGGTAAAATGACACGGATGCTTAATCAAAGCCATCAAAGATCGTATATACATAGGGTGTTCAAGATTGTTTAAGCTTCTTTTATAAACCCTTTACTATAATTCATTTTTAAATCACCAAGAAGGTAAGTAGTCCAACTGATCAAGTTCTGTTCTCGTATTGCTTCTTCCTTTTTTATTCAATGTCCATGAACAAATAAGTTATCATGCTCGCAAGTTTAATGTCTACTAAATATCCCAAGAACTTAGCAACTACGCATTTCTTTCCTGAACAAGTTCCTACTAAAGTGTAAAGTGATCAAAAAAGAAATTTATAAACTTAATTTTAAGATGAGTTCTAGGTCATACCTGACGTCCATCACTATTTTGGTTTTCTGGGGATTTTGTGTGTTGTGTGTACTGAAGCAGCTACCGGTGTACCGCGACTACTATAAGGATCTTAAAGACACTTGGGCATGTCACTAATCCAATTTTTGAGTTTTTTGAGGTTAGCAGTAGGATAAAGCGGGGCTAGTTGAGCATAGGGGTAAATTAGGCAATTGGAATATCTAAAATACTACGCACCTGACGCCAACTCATTATATAGCGGCAAGAAGGTATCAGGAGTGGGGAACACACCGCACGACCATAGCTCAACTAGCCCCCAACAGAGAACCTGATAGTGCTATAGTCTCCATCAGCCATCGTGAGGAGGATGCTGGTACAAGCCTCAAAGCAGGTCCAAGGAAGACGAGTAAAACATGTTACAATAACAACAAAATGAGAAAACTAAGAAAGATAAAACACAGAAACAAAAGATTGATGAAAAGTGTTTGTAAAAAAGTTCTGCTATCAAGTAGTGAAGAAAGCAGTGAAGATGAATATACCTGTCTGGTTTGTTGTGAAGCTTATTCCGATAGCTTATAAACTGAAAAATGGATCCACTGGCAAGTTTGTAAGTAATGGGCACATACAAAATGGAAGTCTTAGTTACGTTTGCATTAATTGTGACAGCGACAATTGTTAATTTGCTATATCGCAATAATGTGTTTTTTATATCAAAACCCCATCACTAGTCATCTGACCACTGATTGATTTAAGGTAGGAAGACTGAACTTACTCCAAATATTAGGTTTAAGAATTGTATGGAATATACTGATTATATTTTTGTGTTTTGAAAAAAAAAGTTTCTGTTTTACTCTTATATCATTAGCAGATTATAAATAAGAAGTTTATTGTAAAATAGCCGTTGTACTCTATGTCTAGTAAACATTCTCCTCAACACATGACTTATTTTCCTTAATGCTCAATATGCCCCATACCCTTGCTCAACTTACCTCACCTATGGGGTAAATTGAGCATATGTGACCTTTTTCACTTAAACCACTGTAGCCCTTAAACTAGGTTTGTGACAGATAAATGAACACAAAGACTTTTAGGAAGGAATAAATTACTTACCCATCAAAATATCTGTAAAACCATTCTGACTTGTCGTTCAAGAGCTATGACTGATCAAGTGAAACAGTGCTCAACTAGCCCCACCCTACCCTACCTGAAAAAGCCTCCTGAGGCAGATTGTTCCACGGACTCTACTCTAGGAACAAAGGAACGGCAGTACGACAGAACTGAAATGGGAGACAGAGCCTGGCGTGTCTATCTTACAGGCTCAACGCGCGGTGGCGTCATATAGGCGAGTTCTGAGGAGCAGAGCAAGATCGCCCACCACCTGTCGGTGCGAAAAAGCCCTCAGACTGTCCGATATGGAAGTTTCCAAAAATATTCGTTATAGTCCAGTTTCCGAGGAGTTCGTGCCATTTAATTAAACCAGCCATCTGAATTAACGAGATTGATATCGAAATGACCTTTGAGGTCATTCTCTAGGTCACAGTAGAGGTCACCGATATATCCCGATATATCCCTTTTCCGTTCTCCTGATACTTTTAGAAACCTACTTTTTTGAAAAAATGCGTCATTGCCAAGCATTTGTGTATTTTGCAGATGCTACAGCTTGACATAATGGTTTGACAGCTATGACCGCCTGTCAAAAATGGTGATTGCAATAAAAAAGGATTATTTCGCGAGTCCCCGGTGTAGCACAGTGCACTATCGAGAACTGATACTCAAATCTTCGCGAAGAACGGGAATAGGGGAGGTCGGATGTAACGTCATCCAAATGTCAAAAAATCACGTGGTACGGGTAGCCGCCTAACGTCGGTGAGGTAGTAGCGGTTGACAGGTCACAGGTCAATGTCATTTGAAATACAGAGATCTCAATTGAAAATTTGTCTTTGCAGTATCGAAAATTGAGTTAGATTATTAAATCTTGAATGGAGGAGAAGGTCATAGAAGATATAGGAACCGCACTTGTAATATCAAATGGTTGATTTTATTGATATATCTATAAGTAAATTGCACAAAAAACGATGGGTATTTTTATTTCAGATTCAAAGAAGGCAACTAAGTTTATCAAGGAGCTTAAAGCAAACATTTTGCATAACATGCGCCAGCTAACCACTCCCGGTGTAACTTGAAACTGTCAAAACTTCGAGAGGAAGGGGAAATTTCATCTGTTCCCGCTACATTCCCTACGGGATCTCTCATATGTATGGAGCTCACCTCCAAATGACCTCTAAGGTCGTTATCTAGGTCATTCTAGAAGTCACCGAGAACTTTCGCTATTGATCTCTAAAATATTTCTAAGGAATTGTTTTTTCGAAAAAATGCGTGGCTTGAAGTTTTTGAGGTAGCCGGATATTCAATGAATACAAAATGCTTGGCAGAGTTAGAATGTCTATGGGGACTAGCCTAGAATACGGCGAAACAGAAATACATGGACAGAAAAAATCCTGATCGCAGGCCAGCCATCAGTTCAAGAGAAACTTGAGACAGGCTGTTAAGGTGCTAATACCTCAGCCAAGATTTATACGATACCATGTATAAAGTTTTGTCGGGATAGCAGCAGCCCAGCCATTGTGAGTAGTCTCCTAGGCTTATCTAAGCTTCGTTCAGATAGACGTGTCTTCCTGAAACACTATTACCATTGATGTGGCATGTTCGGTCCTCAGGTATATCTGAAAACAAATCTATATCAATGTTTAGTCAGTCCACTTGACTCTGTTGTAGCGATGTCACTCCCATGAAGCGAAATAGCTTCATATTTGTACACAAGCCGTAATAACATTATTACTAATGTATTCTACGTCACAAGTAACCGCAGAAAAATGCAGTTTGTTGTTTCGCAACCACCGACTCGACTACATTTCCGTATTCATACAGGCGCTAAACTTGTCCATTAGGTAATCATGACCTTACCTTACAATATCAGTCCCTCTCCACTTTACATTCGTTACACTGCACTTCACACGTACAAATGCTATTAAAATGTGATTATATGATCACACAGAAATACGATAGGTTTCACACCAAGGTGAGGAAAAGAGAGATTTATTGTAGAATTTGAGAAGATACAGAAATGCAGACTGGAGGCAAACATATTCGGTTCAGCCCAACAACAGCAAATTACACATAAAAATAGATTAAGAACCAAGCATTTATGTTTACATTACATTATGTCTCTACTAAAATGCGTAGTTTTAGTGCATACTTTAGACTATTTGTCTAACAATGACAACTAAATTGACGGGGCTGTGTCAATATAGTAATAATACTTGCCGGTGGAAACATCTACCTTCATCAGGTCTCGAAATCGTCTAGCTCTACAGTTAACTGCAAATACTCGCACTTCAAAAACATAACAATGAATATACAAATTTAATGACAGAACTGTCAAAAATTGACTCATGTCAAGTGTACTTTCATCCTCACTACTGACTATGACAGTTAATAGACAATCAAATCCTTGACGGGATTCTTCTTCCTAGCCTGAATTCATTGGTTGACCGGTCGAGTCGTTCATTTAATGTTGTTCAGTAGGTATAAGCGTTTTGTCATTTTGATCGACTGGGCCGACTATTTAGCAAGTTTTGACGGAGTGTTTTTAGGTGGAGCTTATCACTCTTTACGCACAACATACTGAGGTTTTCAATAGACCATACCTGCATGTTCACTTTCTATTTGTCGGTCTCCAACAAGCAAACCTAACACCGTACTGCTATTGCTGGTATGCACAGAACAACTTTGTATGCAAGACTCAGCTCAGCGATACTATCCTTTTCTTTCTCTTCACGTCTTTTCTGAAATTTGAAGCAATTTCAGGAGCATTTTAAAACATATTTTGGGTATATATAGTTTAGATGAAAACTGGTTTCTTGGGTAAATCGGTTGTATAGACCACTAGTGTGATGCCAAGATCTACGGAATACCCCAAGAGGCCTAATTTTCCTACTACTTTTCTGGAAATGTATGATAATGAAAGATTATTCTTCTATTGAACTTTTTTTATATAAATTTCTTGTAATCAATTGGATTAAGGATCTAAAGACACAAAGTTTCCTTTCAAAGAGTTTCCGATGTTTCGTGAAAATTTATTTATTTAAAACACTAAATTTCCTTAACAAGATAGCAATTTCCAACATATACACACATAAAAAAATGATAATAAAACAAAGATAAAATGATTAGATAGTTATTTTATTCTTTCCGCGTTCGAATATCAGAAACTTGGCGAACTCACCCTTTTACTTCGAAGCTGTTGTAGTCGAAAAATAATCCAACGTTTTGCACATCTCAGATATCATTTGGACTGCAACTGATAAATATAACAAACGAACGACTAAATGACACAAAGGGGTAAAATATTTCTAAATAGTAAAAATCTTTTTTATATTTGATGTTTTGCCTTTTTATTGATAAATATATATATACTATAACATCATTAATTTCATGAAGACAAAATAACCACCATCACATAATATTTATCAACAAAAAGACAAAACATCAAATATAACAAGAAGATTTTTACTACTTAGCAATACCTTTCTCCTTTCAAACAATCTGTGTCTAGCTGTACCTCGTAATAGTCTTTTGTATCGGTTGTAGTCTAAATTATATCTAAAATGTGCATAACGTTTGATTATTTTCTGACTACCACAATTTTAAAATAAAAGGATGAGTTCGCTATAGTTTCCTTTTTTCTGATAATTGAACACGAAAAGAGCTTTTCATTCGTTTTTTTTATCATTTTTGCTTTATTTTTAATTGTATGTGTGTACCTATATGTTGGGAGTTGCTACCTTGTTAATGATGATCTGGAATTAGTTTAAGTAGCTCATTTTATATAATGTCTTAACCAAAATAAGTATATTTTACTTGGATTTTATTATTTAAAATTTTAATTACTGTATATATAAAGTTAGTGTTTTAAACGTTTTTTTGTGGAGCCCTGAAGGAGGAAACAAATTTGTCCGAATCATCGGCAACTTTATAACAGAAAACTGTTTCTTTGGACCCCAAATCCGATTAATTACAAAAAATTTAATTCATGATAATATTCATAAAAAAGGGATCCCAAATTACCTCGATCTACCTACCATATTTCATTCTTTTAATTTCTAGGTGCGCAAAGACAGAACTACCGTATCAGATATCAATTAAAATGACAGATATTTAGTCGATTTGAGGCCAGTAAAAATTTAAATTTCAAACTGACAATTCTCTTTTGGTATGATAAACGACAGCGGGATTTTTTCCGCGGTTGAGCCCACATGACACAGCTTTCACCACGCCTATATTCCACTATCAGGCTGATGATATTTTTCTTTTTGTCTGTCGAGTGCGCGGAGTCCGATCTAGCTTCCCCCCACTATTCGCTTCGCTCCTGAAGAATTGTAGCAGTATTCTAGGGTACCTATGTAGTATGACACGAA